TATAGTCCAGCTTCTTGGGCTATTTGCTCAGCATACCAGATTGAATAAATCTGGTGAAATGATGTAACACTGACACACATCTTCCCTGATTTGAAACCATGCAGTATACCCTTGTTCTGCTTGAGCGAATGCCTCTTGGTCTATGTACAGGTTCCTCATGAGCTCAATTAACTATTCTGGAATTCTCATTCTTCCCAATGTTATCTATAATTTGTCATCATCTACACAACGGAATATCTTTGCATAGTCAATAAAACATGGGTAAACATTTTTCTGATATTCTGTTTTCAGCCAAGATCTATCTGATATCAGGAATATTTATAAAACTAATTCTACTTGGTGCTAGGGCAATGTATCTCTCAGCTCTTCCACTGTTGGGGGTATAAATGACCATGGTCTCAACTGTTGTGTGCTCTGATTATACCAGGACTATGCTGCCCATAGGCTGTTGCTAGCCCACGTCTGAGCTCAACAGAAGCTCATTAGAAGGTAGCCCATTCAGATGTTGGGTCTCCTCTGACAGGCAGCTGTGGGCTCTAGGAGTCCATGATGGCCTTACTAAATTTTCCTTAGAAAAGCACAGCAGAGTAAGAGCTTCAATCTTCCTTCCTTCCCTCTCTCTCTGGTACTCAGTGTTAGACTTACATTGTGGTCTAAAGACTCTCCCAGCCTACCTCTGGGAGACTGCTCCCTCCCTATTTTCTTTCACAGGTATTTCCCCTAATTAATTTCTTGTACATTTGATCTCTTCTTGGCTCTGCTTCTCTGAGTACCTGGACTTATGGACTGCACAAATGTTTATTGACATAATGAGTGTTATGCATTTAAAAAACTCTTAACTGTTTTATTTCTAAAGACAAACAGTATTTTTAAACTGAGTACGCTCAAATTTATCATACTTACACACTGAAAATCTATAATGACTTGATGAAATGACCCAGTGAAATGTATGTTTCATTCTCCTATGAGATTAAATCAGTTCAAATTGGAAAAGTTAATGGCATTTAATAAGCTTCAAGTATTCAGTCTGAATGCATTTCAATATGGCAGAGAACACTAAAGCTATTCCTAAACTAGAAATTAATGCCTCATACACGCATCTATAAAATGAAATGTTTAGATGGAATGCATGATAACTTTTACATCTAGAATTCTGTGATTTAAAAAATTATTTTACTTGTTTATTATTTTTAAAGATTCTATATCCATTCTTGTGGCTACGTGGTGCTTTGCACAGAGTAGGTACCGGTATCTCTTTAACTGAATCACAGAATTTCAGGGTAGGAAGGTACTTAAGTTGCTTACTTTACTCTAGAAGATGAGTTTTATCAGGTTTGGTTGACCTAAAGGCAGATGATAAGCAGACAGAGCAGGTTGCCCAGGCATTTTTCTAACAGTCCATGCTATAATCCTTATGTTCAATGCTTGGAGGAAGGAGCATCTGTAGCTTTTCACCTCTTGAAATTGGTCTGTCATTCTGGTGTTTTATGGGAATTATTTCTATACTTTTTGGAAAAATCTGAAAGCAAAGACAGATTTATAGTGCATAAATTGAATTATGTATATCTTATTTTAAAACATTTAAGGTATTCTGAAAAATTGAATTACATAGCTTTGATTATTTCTGATGTTGCCTCAATAATTTTTTTCTCTCTCTCAGGTTTTGCTATTGTTACTTGCTGTTGAATTGGCTCCAGGAAATGGCAATTTTACATTTCACAGAAAGAAATATTGCTTAGTCCTGTGTCCTCTTCATGAGCACTGGTATATTTGAGTCCACTGTCATGGTTAATGTGTCAATCTTCAGACAGGCATTTTCTTAAGCTATTTAGCGCCATCACAGTCCAAATACCACAAGTGGGTGGCTTTAACTAACAGAAACTTATTTTCTCACAGTTTAGAATAGAAATCTGAATTCTGGGTACCGGCCCTAACGGAAAGCTCACTCTATCTGTCTGGTCTGACTGAGGAAGTTCCTTTTCTCTTTTCCAGTTTCTTCTATTCCTAGGTTCCTTAGCGATCACATGGAATGTATCTTCCCTTCCATTTGTGCTTGGTTGCTTAAGCTGCTGTTTTAGATTTTAGAAGGGAATGATTTGAGACACACCCTTGACTGATAATGCTTCATTAACGTAACAAAGGAAACCCATTCCCAGATAGGATTATAACCACAGGTATAGGGGCTATGAAGGAGCACTGGTGGCTCTGTGCCTAAGGTATTTGACTGCTAACCAGAAGGTTGGAGGTTCAAACCCACCAGCTTCTTCAAGGAAGGAAGATGAGGCAATCTACTTCTGTAAAGATTTACTGCCTTGGAAACCCAATGAGGATCACTATGAATTGGAACTGACTCAGTGGCAGTGAGTTTGGTTTGATAGGTGTTCCAAAAAATCAAACCAAACTCATTGCTGTCAAGTCGGTTCTGACTCAGAGCAACCTTTCCTTGGGTTTCCAAGGTGGTATCTCTATGGAAGTAGATTGCCCAGTCTTCCTTCCGTGGAGTGGCTGGTGGGTTTGTACCACCAGCCTTCTGGTTAGCAGTCAAATGCCTTAGGCACTACACCACCAGTCTCTTACTCCAGTGCTTTCTCCACTTTACCAGCCTGACCTAACGTCAGCATGATTTCCCAATGGCTTTCTTCTTTGGTTAAGTTAGCAACTTGTTCTAACCAGGTAGTTGCTTCTATTTATAGAACATTAGCATTATAGTAAGTAGTTAATATTCTATATCCATTATAGAACTTACTATAATATCCATTATGTTGTTGTTGTTATGTGCTTTTGAGTCAGACCAACTCATAGCGACCCCTCCTTGGGTTTCCGAGGCTGTATAGTTAATGTTCTATAGATAGAAACAACTACTTGGTTAGGAGAAGTTGCTAACTTAACCAAAGGAAACCATGTGGAGATCATGCTGACATTAGGGCAGGCTGGTAAAGTGGAGAAAACACTGGGGCAAGAGACAGCAGTGTGCTGCATTTCAGGTTGTCTTTAATAAACTAATGGTGTAACCTTTGGAATGTCCCCTACCTGCTTTGGATTTCTGCTTGCTCATCTGTGAAATAAAAGAGTTCCACAAGATGGCTTATAAAGTCCTCCAAAGCTATTGCGGTCACATGGATTCTATGTTTTTTTCTCATTGACTAACATTCCTGTATCACTTTATGACTAAGACTAAATCATATAGCTCATCCAAAACTAAGTCAGCTTCAAGAAAACACCTTAAATACAAATTCATTCAAGAAGAAGGGCAATTTCTAATTTTTTCACTTTCTTTCATTTTTAGAAAACATTTTCTATAACCATAGGCAGTTGGAAGGGAACTGGTATACACCTGGTACATACAGTTGAAGACAATTTCCAAGCAAACAAACATTCTATTGACATGCCCTCTTACTGCCTTACACAGAACCTTTGAGGACTGGATGAAAACTATTCTCATTCTATTCAGTTTGTTTAGGGACAGGGTGAATCTGAACCCAGTCAAAGTGTTTCTTATTCTGATGAGAGACGACCAGACTTGCAGTACAAGAGCTAAAGGGGACCATAACCTGCCAATCTATAGGAAAGGGCACAAAAGCGGCCTGGGTCTCACTACCTTCCCTTGTTCTCCATCAAAGCCCTTCACCAATGGAGCCAGGCAAGAATTCCAATCCTTGGTCTCAGTTAGGAACTTGACATACCTATGCCTTGGAAGCCCATGGATTGAATTCTCCCATCATCAGCTGAAACTTCATCCAAATCTATTCCCTTTTCCAAGGTATAAAAGTTGTAAGCATAAAAATTCTACAGATAGGCTTTCAATTTTTTTTCTAGATAAGTACATTTTAAAACAAAAAATAACAAGAATCAAAAAGCAGTTTCCACCAGGTTTATTTACCCTAGTTGAGAATTTCTTCATACTTTGAAAGCCTACAAAGTGAAGCTTATCCTTTTAAATCTATTCAAATTATCTTTAAGGCCATATGGTCTTCTTAAGTAGAAAATAAATAAATAAGTGGCATTACCAAAGGGAAGGAAAATAAAGTTTCCTTTAGGAAAGTATGATATTGGGAAACAAATCTTTATAATAGAATTTGCCACAGGCAGATATTGTCAGATAACTCAGACTTTAAAAATAAAAAGGTATTTGAAATTTAATTCAATATTTAAGAAAATTTACTAATAAAATGTGCACAATACTCTATTTAGGAAAGATATTTTTAATAAAGACAATATGTATATCACATTAGAGGTTTATAGTATAATTTTTAAAATAATTTCCCATTTTCTGCCACATCATTACTATTGCTGGTATGTGCCTGACTTTCAGATTATAATTCTTCATGAGTCTTGAACTGAAGCAGCCTAACTGGTTTTGAGTAGCACTAAGCAATGAAATACTCAGAAAAAAGACTACAGCAGGCACAAAGAATTACTTTCATAGATACACTTGCCCTAGTACATGCAGGATATAGCAAAGCAGCAGCAGGAGGAAATAGAATCTGTGAAATAAACTGAACTTCCTGTAGTTGGTATTGCTCTCTTAATAACTATGCAAGACACTCCAACAGTATTCCTGCTGGTGGATACTGTGGTAATAACACACATTGCATGAACTGAGTTTGCAAGTTGTTTGATACAAAACCTCTATTTAAATTCTTTTAAAGAATTAAATTAAAAATAAATAAATAAATAATTCTTTTAAATCCTTCAGTTGGATTTCATATGGCTCCTAATGCCCATAAGTAATAAATAACCAACTAGCTGACAACTGACTTAGCAACATCGTTTACTTGAAAAACAAATTGTTTTCAAAACCTTTTTAGTATATGCCTAAAAAATTATTTACTATAAGGAATAAACCGCAAATATTTTTGTAAGTCAAATAAAAATGCTCACATAATTCTTCCAAAGCTGGTTATGGTTGTTAAAAATATTACTACTGTCACAAACACAAAAAATGGAATATAGGTTTACGGTTATATAAGAATTATATAAAGTAACTTGACAGATCTTACCTTTTTCAGGAACCGGACTCCGTAGGTAAATATATAAAGGAAAAATGAAAATCTCCACCTGTAGAAAGTTAGAAATAAAATTCTATGACATTCAGTTTCTATATTTCACAACATTTTATGAAACATGGGAGAGAAAAAAAAGCCTGCTAGATTGACATCCCCACTAGTCATTACATTTAATGAGCAATTTCAGTATTAACTAAACATATATTTATATACTGACGTGCATGGGTATATAAATGTAAAGTATTACAAATATTTTAAATATTAACAATTCTATTCATAACCTAAATTTTCTTTTGCCTAGTTACTATATTTGCCCATTTCTCCTCTCTTTCCCTAGCAGGTTAATTCCCTCTTACTAATCACTACAAGGGTATGATGAACACACAACATAGTTTTGAATTTTTTGTCTGTTTCAGATATTAAATAAATACATTTACTAAACTGCAGTTTATATTTGTTTTAAAGATACTTCTGATATCAAACTAAAAACCCACTGCCAGGAGTCAATTCCAAATCACACGCAACAGTAGAGGACAAAGCAGAACTACCCCATGGGGTTTCCAAGGCTCTAAATCTTTGCTAAAGCAAACTGCCTATCTTTCTCCCATAGACCAACTGGTGGGTTCAAACTTCTGACCTTTTGGTTAGCAGTTGAATGCTTTAACCACTGCACCACCAGAAGTCCTTAAGCCTCAATGTCATTAACTAATGTAAGCACTTTTCTCCATCTTTTAAAAAATATTCATCAACATCTTTGCAGATGTTAAAGAAAGGAATAAAGAATCTAAGTCCTCTATCTTCCATACAAGTGTAAATGACAGCCTTAAACTTTTCCAAACGGTGGGTTTAGCTATTAGACTTTCACTTTTTTAAAAAATGAGAAAAAAAATTATAAGTTCTCTTTCAGATTTTAATAATTGAAATATTTTAAATCTTTTAAAATATAAGGTTACTACCAAAACAAACAAACTCTTTTCCTAGTACAGTATTTCCAATTTTATTTCTTGTACTTTGTGTATGCCTTTACAAGCTAGCTAGATTTCACCAAATAGCATTCCCAAGGCTAAGTTACTCATGGTGTTGTGGGTAATAAGTTATAAATGATCACAAAGGAGAAAGAGACTAGTCAACTTGAGTCCATCAAGAGGCAAATTGCTTTTGGTGCCTACACCAAAAAACCAAAAACTCACTGCCATCAAGTCAGATCCAACTCATAGCGACCCTTCCTTGGGTTTCCAAGGTAGTATCACTACGGAAGTAGATTGCCCAACCTTCCTTTCGAGGAGTGGCTGGTGGGTTTGAATACCAGCCTTCTGGTTAGCTGTCAAATCCCTTAGGCACTAGGCCACCAGAGCTCCCACGTCCCTGCAAATTTCAAATAAGGTAAAAAAAAGAAGGTGGTTTTAGGAGATTACCTGAGTTACATACAAAATTTTCTGGAAGAAAATGACAGATAAACGCAAGTAGGAGGAAAAGCATAAAGGTCCAGGGGCCTCTGAAAGTTGTGTAAAAGCCAACAGCAGACACAATTGTCCCCCAGAGTTTCACAGGTAGATTCATTCCTGGGTTGGCTGACCCTGATATCACACTGGAAATCTTAGTCAGAACTAACATTTACAAAAGAGATTTGAACTTCAGGGTGAAAATCTTTGACTAATAATTCCTTATACTTGAATTTTTGAAGGAACAATAAAAACGGATAGAAGCAGTAATAATTCAACGGGCTTCTAAATAATAAAGAAAAGCAATGATTATAGAACCTCATGAAAAAGCCCTCTGGTATTAAAGGACAGCTGACTCACCAAAGTATCAAGGTCAAGGACTTTATTTTAATTCCATTTATTTGATCAAGTTTTTTCTTCAGTGGCTGCTGCTGGACAGTGTCTGTGTTACTTTGTTTCTGGATATACAAATAGACCAGAAGTTAAGAGCAGGGCTGGCTTTACGGACATACAATCTGTGCAGTCACACAGTGTCCCACACTCAGTTTAATGCTCTGCTGTCCCTGTCTTGAAATTCTTCGTAATTTTTGAACAAGGGGCCCAACAATTTTACTTTGCATTGGGAACTGCAAATTATGTAGCTGGTTCTGGTTAAGACATATAGATTCTTTCAACTTTGGCAAATCTACTAACATTCCTTGACCTCAGTTTCATTTCTATAATGGAACAGTGAGATTATATTCCACTACCTGTCAGTTTGTCATACTGTGGTGGTTTGGATGTTTCTATAATGCAGAGTAATGCCTAAGGCATTTGACCGTTAACCAGAAGGCTGGCGGTTCAGACCCACCAGCCACTCCTCTGAAGGAAGGTTGGGCAATCTACTTCCATAGTGATACTGCCTTGAAAACCCAAGGAGGGGTCTCTATGAGTTGAGTCCAACTCGATGGCACATAACAACAACAACAGGAACATAATGCTGGAGGCTATACCTCCAGTATTTCAAATACCAGCAGGGTCACCAGTAGTAAACAGGTTTCAGTAGAGGTGTCAGACTAAGACAGACAAGGAAGAGCAAACTGGTGACCCACTTCTGAAAATTAGCCAATGAAAACCTTATAGATCACAACAGAATACTGCCCTCTATAGTGCTAGATGATGAATCCCCGCAGGTCAGAAGGCTCTACACAATAGCCATATTTGACTCACATATCTCAAAGATCATAAAGATGGTGGAAGACTGGGAAACATTTAATTCTGTTATACATAAGATCACATGAATTAGAGCAGACTCAATTGCAACTAACAACAGCAACTACAGGTTTTTAGCATACTTTGGGTCCAAAAATTTGGTGGTATAAGTAAGCTCCACTTCTCCTTGTTGTTGTTGTTGTTGTTGTTAGATGCGTCAAGTCGGCCCCGACTCATAGCAACCCCTCCCTTGGGTTTCCGAGGCGGTATCACTACAGCAGTAGATTGCCACTTCTCCTTAGTCCCTCTCAACTCTCTGTATAGTATGAAGCTTACCTACTTCATTCATTTGCATTACTTTTCTAGCCCTTTGCAAAAAAAAAAAAAAAACAAACTCACTGCCATCGAGTAGGTTCCAACTCATAGCAAACCTTCCTTGGGTTTCTGAGGCATCTCTATGGAAGTAGATTGTCTAGTCTTCCTTGTGAGTAGTGGCTGATGGGTTTCAAACGCCAGCCTTCTGGTTACCAGTCAAATGCCTTAGACACTACACCACCAGAGAGGCAACTGTATTTGCAACTACCAGATTATATGATTTACAACTGCTGTTTCAGCTCTTAGACTCTTTTGTAAGTAAGCAGTGATAAGACAGTATTTATGTATAATAAAAACTTGGGGTAGCGGTTACTGGAATTCCTACCATCACTATGTATCTACATTTTATAGGTTCCATTACAGGAACACCAGTGTCTCCATCATTTGACTAACAACTCATGATGAATATTTACAAGGCAGAGTTTATTTCCATAAATGTCTACAGGAAGTAATATTCTCAAGCATTCTGCAATAGGCAAAAAGTCTTTATCTGTAGAGTTTTAGATGAGTTAGTTTCAAATGGTGTCTAGTTACCAACCCCTAATATAACCTCTCTCAACCTTTCACTAAAATATCTATTAAAAGAGAGCTAAATAAAGGTTCACATAATCACAGAAAAAGAATAATCTTTAACCTATTTCTAGAATCTGAGAAGAATTCTTACAACAGGAAAAATAATACAATTAGGTTTTTTAAATGTAATTTAAGAAATGGTTAATTGCCTCCATGAACAACTGCCCCTTTAGCCATAAGACCAGAAGAATTGGATGGTGCCTGGCTACCAAACTGAATATTTTAATCAAAGATTCCATAAAAGAATCCTGATCAAAAAGGGAAAACTGTAGAACAGAATTTTAATTCTCATAGATTCTAGAGTTTCTGGAGCCATGGAAGGTAGATGAACCCCTGAAACTACTGACTTTAGATACTCTTTAAACCTTAAACCCACAAATAGCCCATCATCTTCCTAAAACTGAATAATAGTTTAGCTTACCTAGTGGTAAATATCAGCCTTGAGCATTATGCTTTCTTACGAACTATCTATATGAGATCAAATTGACAGCAGCAACCCTAAAGACTAGATAGCAACCTTAGGGAAAGTGAGTTTGGGTTAAGGAGGGAGGAACAACTCAGAAAAGAGGGTGAGAATGCCTGCATAACTGGAACAATGTAGTCAATGTCATTAAATTGTACATGTAGGAACTGTTGAGTTGCTGTATGTTTTGCTGTGTATATTCTCAACAACTAAAATAAATAAAATTTAGAAAAAAATTAATTAGGTACATGTAAACCAATGCTCATTGGAGCATTATTCACAACAGACAAAAGGTGAAACGACGCAAATGTCCATCCACAGAAAAATGGATAGACAAAATGTGGTCTGTAATACATACAATGGAATATTATTCAGCCATAAAGATAGATTAAGTTCTGATACATACTCCACCATAGATGAACCTTGAAAACATGATGAGTGAAATAAGACACACACACACACACACACACACAAATACTGTATGATCCCACTTCCATGAAATACCTAGATTAAACAAATGCATAGAGACCAAAGTTTATTAGTTGTTACCAGGGGCTGGAGAAGGAAAGAATGGGAGATACTGCCAAAGGGATACTGATTTTCTGTTTGAGTAATGTAAAATTTCTGTAAATAGACAGTTGAAATGGTAGCACAATGTGTTGAATGTAATTAATATCACTGAATTGTACACTTAAAAATGATTAAAATGGCAAACTTTTTGTTTTGTGTGTGTGTGTCTGTGTTTCACCACAATAAATTTTTTTAAGGAGGAAAACAAATATATTTAGAGGCAGCAAGAAACATACTACAGGCTTTGAAGGAAGTAGAAAAATCTTTTATCTGTATATTCCCTTTTCTATTTTCTGCCATCTCATATGGAAATGCAGTGGATGGGTAGAAGCAACCCAGTTTATACCACAGAACCCCAGAAAGACTCAAGATGAGGAAACAAGTCTGCAAGGTAGAAACCTCTACTAAAAACAGAGGTCTGGGGATTATCTTCCCCTA